GCTCCATGCGGCCCGGCCGGCGCGCGCCTCTCCCGGGCCGCTGCGCCCGCCCGCGCGCTCCGGGCCTACCGCCGCCGACCCTGGGCGCGAGCTGTTTGTGTGGCGTCTTTTCCACCGCGGCCCCCCTCTTCTGGAGCCATTCCTCGCAGCCCTCCGGTCCCCCACCCCGTTCCGACAAAACCCGGACTGGATTTATTTCCCCTACCCACAGTCTCGGAAAACCTGGCGCTCTCGAGCCCTGGGGCCAGACGCCCTGGCAGACGTGGAACCCGCGGCCGAGGAGCCCCTCGGAGGGAGGAGGGTAGACTTCGCGAGGAGTGAGGGGTCGGTCAAAGGGAGGCTGAGAAGTCGCTTCAGGCCGACTACCCCTGGTTTTCGGTGAAGTCCGGGGTGGGGTGCACTCACCAGAGGTCTGGGGTCCCTTCCCAGCGTGAGTCATCAGTCACTTGAATTTTTGAAATACTGTTTCATGACACTGACTACCAATCTCTCGGTTTCTTTAAACACACCATTGTAGGCCTTGTCTATTGAGCTCTGTTGTCACTGTGCAGTCTTTCAGCTTTTCCACATTTCTGCCTTGAGTACCTGACTATAACAGTGAAATGCCCCAAAGCCTTCTGCTCTCATCAGTCTGTAGACTTGACTGGCATTGTCCAAGCCTTTGAAGAAACGAACAGGGATGAGGGTTCAAGACTGAATTTGTTCTTTTAAAAGAGCAGTATGAAGTAAGACCAAGCGGAATCTAGCACATAAAAAGTTGGCCATATAATGAACGACTTTGCCACTTTCGGAGGATTTTTACCTGTGACTTAAAAGTTTGTTTACTATTTACTGTTGCCTGGGTCAGGCTATATAATAAGCCATACTCTACATTCAAATCATACCCCAAAGTCCACCCCTCTTGGGAGGGTTACAGAGGAGCCCAATCATCCCATGCTCTGGTGTGCACATCCACGCCCAGTGTAAAAGGGGTCCTGTGCTCAGCTAATTATCGTTGGGGACTTAACATCATGTGCACCTGTTAGACACTTGAAGGGGCCTCATTAAATGCTCACTTAGGATCTCTTCCAACTGTGAAGAGGGATGATGACAAAGATTCTAAAATGAACTTTTTTGTTCTCCCAGGAATGAGATTAGCTTACAGATATACTTATTTCAGGTAATGACACTCTCATTAGAATCATTCAGGCCCGAAATAGCGGTGTCATTTTAACTCCTTTCTCTACCTTATCTCTAGAGGCAGTTGCCCTACAAGTCCGATCCATTGTTCTCTCTGAAATGCCTTTTGAATCCTCCCCCTCCTTTCCATAGCCAAAGCTCTTGGAGTTCAGGACTTCAAAAGTGAAAGTTTTGAAGTCTTACAATTACAAAACCCCAGTTTCTCATCCACACCTGGTCACCTGCCCCACTCTAGAATATGGGATCCGTATTCTCCAAACACTAATTTGGCTGGTCAAGCTATTTTCTTGTGAAACTTTTCACTTGTAAATATTCCAAACAGGAATTCAGAAAGAGAAAATGGTTGGAGCATTTTAAGAGATGGGCGTGTCCCTGGCCAAAACATGGAATAGCAGGGGCCCGCCAAGAAGTGAGTAAATGAGAGAGTGTTTGCAAAGAATAGTCAAGGGTCATTAAAGTGGTTCCAGCCCAATCAGAAGAAACTTAGCTCTGTTGATTTGGGAGGTTTCAGAGGAGGGCTGCAGGGTCTCTCTGGCCACAAAGCGAAGGTCCCGCGTAAAGCGTGGGCAGGGGCCACAAGACAAGTCGTGGGGAACAAAAGTGTGAGATAAATGGGCAAGTAGTTGGGATCATGGTCTCAGGAGCCAAGCACCTGAATCCAAATTCTGGCTCCGGAACTTGCTAGCTACATGCTTTTACTCATTTTCTCTCTGTGCCTCAGGTTCTTCATCTGTAAAATAAGAGTAATAAAGGTGTTGTAGGATAATAAGTTAGTATATGCAATCAGTTTAGAAGAGTGCCTGGTATAAGCCAAGATCTAGATAAGGACTTATACCAAATATATTGTTAGTGTAGATAAACCAGGTGGCTCGGGAAACTTTGGAAAATAACAAGGTGGCTATCTTTTAAGGAGTTTCAGAAATGTCAAATAACTAGCAAAATGTGTTTTAGAACCCAGCTATATCTTGTCAAGGAGCCATGGGTCAGGCCAAGGATAATGCTTTTTTTGTGTCTGTAATTGCTATAAATGAAACAAAGTAAATGTTTTCCGAGAAATGAAAGGAAAAGCAGACTTCAGTGAATGAGTGATCGTATTTGTGGCTTACTGCAAGATGGCGCACTGTTGTACGTTCTTCCAAAATCGCTGCCTACACTTTGAAATCAGCTTGTTCTTCCTCTCAGGCTACTTCAGCAGAGCCCATGTGCAACCCACCCCAGACCCCACAGAGCCAGAGAAGCAGCTCTCTGAGGGAGAAAAAAGTCCTGGCCTTGGAGTCAGACCATTAAATGAAGACTAATGTCACAAAAGAGATTTGGCCCAAGCTGGGCTCTGAGAGACAAGAAGGTTTGGGATTCGCTGAGAGAGTAGCATTATCCAGCCAGATGCAGGCCCCTGAAGACCATCATACTAAATCCAGAGGACATTTAATGGGAATTTGTCAGGAATCAAGAAAAATGTCATGATATGCTCTCATGTGATGTGCTCAGGGAGATACCTCATGATGCTGAGTAGGCAGGAAGAGTCCTTGCTGCTGCTTTCCCCCACATTCCCTAAGTTGTTGTCCCTAAACTAGGAGCTATGTGCCACCAAGGATGAGCAGCTATGCCTCTATGCTGCTGTGCCTTGGGGTAAAAAGCAACGCAGCTTCCAGGGCAAGAAATTTAACACCTCATCGTTTAAATCAGTCCTTCACTCATACTCCGTGCAGTTATTTAGTCCTGCCAAATCCAGTGCTCTTGGCCTTCACTGGGGAGAGGAATAGACAACAAAGAAAGTAAGCAAACATGATTTCATAGATGCAATAAGCACTGTACAGAAGAATAAAGCAGAAGAGAGTCGAGGGCGCTGGAAACTTAATATAAAGAACTGTGAGCTGGCCGTGGTGGTACAGGCTGGTAATCCCAGTTACCCAGGAGACTGAGGCAATAAGATTGCAAGCTTGGGGCCAGATTGGGCAATTTGGCAAGACCCTGTCTCAAAATAAAATTTCCAAAGGGCTAGGGATGTAACTCAGTTGCAGAATGCCTGCGCAGACCCTGGGTTCAATCCCCAGTACCAAGAGAGGGAGAGGAGAGAGTATGTGTATTTCTTTGTATTAAAACAAAAATCTTGGAAGCACTGTATATGTCCAGCAGCAGGTTAATGGAAAAAGAAAATGTATGTACACACAATGGAGTACTACTCTGCCATAAGGATAAACTTGAGTCCTTTGTAGGAAAACGGAGGCACCTGAGACCATAATGTTAAGTGAAATAAATCAGACACACAAGCTTAAATATCACATGCTTTCTCTTATATGAGAAACCCAAATTATAAATAAAGAGCAGAAATAAAAGATGGATAATAGGAAACAGGGAGATAGATCTTTCTCAAGTGGGAAGGGGTCTAAAGAGGGAGGCAGGAGGAAAGGAAGGAGAAGGCGATACAAAAAGGAATTAAGCTGTGTTATGCACGTATACCAACTCCACACAAGGAATGTAAACATGTACTGCAAACGTACCAATAAAAACAACAACAGAAAAGAAGAATGGTTTGGAGCATAATGTGAAATCTGAATGAAGACTTGTGGTGTGGTCTCGTTTTCCTCACTTGCTCCCCTGTACTCTCTGGCCTGCTTTGCACACTTTGAAGGTGCTGAGGAAGAGGACTAAGAGTGAGCTTTGAAATGAGCACGCTGCCGGGTCTGCTTCCTTCTGGTCCTCAGTGATTCTCAAACCTTTGAGTTTTGACCCCAAAGACCCTCAGAGCATTTTTTTTAAATGTCTGAAAAAATATATAAAGAAAACCAAGCTTGATTTGACATTCTATTCAATTTTTAAATTTTAAGATTCAAGAAAATAATAATCATGGTCCCCCCAAAATGAGGTGTAACCATAACAAGGGCAGAAAAAGGGTAAACATCCACCCTCCAGGGACAGCTCTTTTAGGTCCTTATGAACTGTAAATAGTTGGATTTCTTGACAGTGGTAGCTCCTTTAAAGAAAACTAAGTTCCACCCTCTAAAAGAGTTATGAAAGTTAGATTAGGTTCATTTCTCTGTATTTCTGGGAAACTTAAAAATGATTTCAGATGATGATTGTCACCCCACCGATGAAAAACAGATGAAAGTTAAGAGAGTGGCTTATCTGTTACAACCGTAGGCTGAAAGCTGACTGAGTCAAGACTAAATTTCCACTCAAACGATTCCTCCATGAACAACTAACCTAAGCCTTTTCACAAACACAATGTACTTTCAATATAGTTTTTAAAATAATACCCCTCAAAGAATTGGCTTTTTTTGTGAGTACAAAAACGATAGCATTATTTTTACAGCACATATACGCAATTCTGATACACATATATACGTTGTGCTTTTGTGTTTGTTGTTTCTGTTCAGTTTAGTCACCTCATATTGGCATTGAGAGACTACAGAAAGAATACCAGACTGGAATTCCAGAGACTTAGGTCTAAATTCCACATGTGACACTAGTTAAGCCCTCTGATCTCTGCAGAGTTTAGATTTTTAAGATGAATGAGGTACACTCCCTAAAGCCCTATT